TATAAACCAAATAGTAGAAATGTGTCAACTTAAAATGGGATTAGTGACATCTAAACCTTTTCAGTGCAATGTTAAATGGGAGCTATACAACTCTTCCTAAATAACAAACCAAAGGCACAACACACATACACAAACAAAAAAGGAAACGAAATCAACAAACAAATACAGTAAATACAATCTACCACATATGGTAAATGTAGACTAAAACATGCAAGAGTTTAGAATATAAACAGGGAAATAAGAATGGTTTTATTAATCTAAATTCTCATCTGCCACAATCAATCATAATAATAAAAGCTTAAAACATTATACGTAAAAAATCCAATAGTGTAGAGTGAGAGGCAAAAAAGGTTTTAATGAAACATATTTAAAACTTAAACATTTTAACTGATGGACTAAAATTAATTTTGGATGCAAGTTAAAATTGAGGCAGAGAATATTGTTTTACACAACAGAATGCCAGCAAAAAGAAATTGAAATTAATTTTGGATGAAAGTTAAAATTTGGGCAGGGAATATTGTTCTTTACGAAGAATGCCAGCAAAGGCAAGTATAAGGTAAGATTTTGAGATAGAAAATTATCAATGTACAAACATAAATATAGTAACTGACACAGGCAGGGGTGATTAATTGATGATAAAATACTCAGAGGAAGATTGTTAGAATACAGAATATTGATACTATTTCAAACCACTTTCCAAATTAATTATAAACAAGGTGTCTTTACAGGCGATAGAGCTCCTAGACCCCTCCTTTACCAAGTGACCATGCTAGTATCACAACAATGGGGATGGACACACTGGGCCTTCTCTGCCTGCAGATGGACTGAGGTAGGAAGCTCACAGCATGGACTCTGCAGAGTTCCTGGCAAAAGGTTTAGGCTGAATTTAATCATGAGGACATTTTCAGATAACTTCAGAATGTAGACCATTGAGCCACACAGCTGACCTGTCCTCTACAAACATTCCATGTGATCACCATTAATGACAACAACAAAAAGATTAAGAGATGTTTTGGGTTCAAAATGACTAAAAAGGCGTAAGCTACACAGTCTGTTTACTCTTTTTGA